CTAGTATTACTAATCTAAAACTATTTTCATGAATAATAATGCTTATTGATAAGTAGTAGTAATATATATTTACATAGTTCGAACACAAAAACAACTAAGACAATAAGAAAAACAAAACTAGAACACTACAATCACACAGCAAAAAAGATGGTTCGTTCATAGATCAGTTTGCATTTTATCAAATCATTGAAGAAGATTATTGTGGATGTTCCTTTTCGAATTTAATAGCCATTTCAAGTAGTTCTTCATCAGAAATTTCGGGGATCATTTGAACGTTTGTACAAGCCTTAGCAGCCATCTCAGCTGCACTGACAAATTTCAATTGATCGACAGATGTTGAAGTAGAGTTTGGAAATCGTCCTCCACATCCATGATGGTCAGTCATAATCTTTTTTACTTGACCTTCAGGCAATGAAGGAGCAGCTCGTTTCTTTCCACGTTCTGTTTCAGTTGAAGTGCCCTGTTGTCAAATTAATAAAAATATTAGATTATTATGATATCGTTAGTTCTTACTTTATTATCAGCTGTAATCGCCAATAGATCTGAGAAAATGTTCGTGGTTGTATTCATTGTTGAATCTGTCATATAAAGAAATATGATATTATATGAATTTGAAAACAAATGCACCATGACACTTACTTGATGATTGAGACATTTCAAATGAATGAAATTGGATGTAGCTATGAATAGTTATGTTAGAAAAATCTACAATAAATACATACTATTGTCTAAATTCCGTATATAAATGACAATTTTAGTAAAATTTTTATTGATATCATAGGATAATTAGTGTAATTGTTAATATTTATACATAAAATCAGAATACAAACACTAACACACGCATTTGCACATCGCGTTGAAGTGATCATCATATGGACGATGATCAATTAAACAAAAAAAACATCAATAAGAGGATAAACATTAAAGATTATTTATTGACATAAAATTAATGTTTATCTTGTCTATTTCACTCTTTACAGACGAACATCTGTTTTTACAAATATCGACAATAAAAAAACCCGACTTGATATCAACGTTTTCATCGATATCAGTAAGCTGATAGATATTTATTAATAAATGTCATGTATATTGCAATAATTGAGGACAAACCATATGCATGAATTTCTCTTGAAGTCGAAATGTATCGATGTTGTGTAGAAATCCTCGTCGATATTCTTTTGTAGCAAGTTGAATTTCACCATCATCATCAATATAGTGATGATATTCAATGCGATACAATGGAATTTCTTCTTGTGCCATCAATGAATCAAAATCACCATCGAAATCAATAGGTTGTAAAAGCTTGAATCCTCTGTTGCAATATTTTTCTACACGTGTGCACAAATGCTTTGGACTTCGAGCATGAAGATTATAAACAATAAATGATTTAGTTGCAATTGCTTGTAAGAATGGAAACGTTGAAACAATTCGGTCTCCTAAAAATCTTATACATATATATAATGAAGAAAAGATTAAAGGATCTATAGATTTACCAGTAAAACCTACTTGACAAATATCCATGTCCAAATTGTGAAGGATATGTGAAAGTGGATTTTTTGAGTTTCCTATACTAGTCCAAGTAAAGTGAAGCCGGATATGGTCGGGTAGAAATACGTTGTAATCAGGTGTTCCTGGTATTCTTTCCATTTTGATTTCATTGTGTAACTTTTGAGAAACCACTTTCTTAAGATTATTGACAGTATCATCTATTGATCGCTTAAAATCTAATATATCATTCACATAGTACACTAAGTTGACATCTTGCTGCTTAGTATCTGAAAATGGTGATCGACATAAAGCATTCATAACACAACCTCCAATAATTGCCCACTTTGAGAAGTCTATTGCTCTTAGCCATGTATCTGATGAAAAACGTGTAGCCAGATTTTGTTTGAACTCTTCCATTGTACGTACAAATGTCATATTCAAACAACAGTTGCGCTCTTGGTTCTTAATAAAATAAGTATTAACTAAAATGAATTATAATCATCAATTTTTAGATATTATTTTTTACATTCTCTATGTTTTACCTTTGAATAAGTTTTTTTCGTGTTCATTTAATATACGCTCGGATCCAATTGTATGACCATACCATTCATAATCAAGAAGTCCAAAATCTGCATTGTAATAGTAGCAAACAGTGTTCAATGGTAAGAGTCGAGAATAGCAGTTGAAAAGAGAAGTCTTATAAACTTCACACAACTTTGTAAAACCTTCAGTACCAAAGCATGGATGAATATATAGACGTTCAGACGGATCGATGACATCAGAATAGCGCTTTGAGACTGTAATGAGTTGTTCATCATCGATCTCATACTCACTTGTGAAGTCTTCAAATAGTGCACGTGGCAGTCGAATTCTTTGGTGACCACAGAATTTTTTGATCATCTCAATAAAATGATGATCTGATGTTTTTGCAATCGACCAGAATTGTCGACTATCGTTGACTGCTTCGATAAAATTAGTTGCGTCAAGCCCATTAATAAATTTTAGTAAATAACATCCAACATCTTGATTAAGCTCAACGGCTGTATATTCCGTCATAATCAATCAATATATAATAGATATTATAGATCGATTAGCAGATATATCTAAAATGTTTGACAATAAATGATAGCTATCAACAAAATAAATCAATATCCATGCAAATCTATAGACAGGTAATATCATGCATCGTTCATTGTGCCTTCTGCTGGTATATATTGCATTCGCTTCGTATTAGCTCGCTCTCACACTTGATATAAGGAGGAACATGACTTTCAATCATATATTTATTAACATTAAAAAAGATCGATACATGTAAATTACACTTATTCTACACACTACAAACATTTTTTGTATTTATTTACAGTGTTATCTATTTGTATGTCGTTATCAATCTTTCTCTTTGTTTTCATCTTGTATTTCTTCCATTATATGTGAAGCAGTACCATTTGTATCTGTATATTTTTCACGAAGCTTGTCGGCAAAAAGATGGTTCCAATCATAAATTTCATCGTTTATATCCGTTTCTGAGATGGAAGATAAAGAAGCTTTGTAACGATTTACATAATTATCAAGCATATATTCATTCCATTGATTTTGCTCGTCAATATCAGGTTGGAAAATCACGTCTTCTTTGATTTCTACTATTTTAATATCATCTACGTCAAGTTCCTTTGATTCTATATCGTTTTCGTTCAGTTCTTCTTCTTCTTCTAAATAACCACAATGAGTGCATCTAGTGTTGGATCCAGTATTTGACTCAGAGTCAGCTTCCTGTAGTTGTATTATTTTACCGAGTGGAATTTGGAAGATAATCGTTGGCATTGGTATCGTAATTAAAATTGGTTCATCCATCTATAATTAAAGATATGTTTTAGATAATAAAAAAGCGTTTCGACGACGATACCTGTTCAATATTGATTACAATATGATCAGACATTGAGAAAGTATAATTCTAGGTATAATTTAAGTGCTTGTTCGTGAATATCTAGAAACAGACAAGAACAATGAAAATGAGGATCTATACTAGACAAAAAAAAAGATGTTCAATATTTTAATACAGTATTAAAAAACGTAATAACATAAAAAAAGTTTCTAACTGAAAAACACATCTAAAAGTTTTTGTACAGAATAATTGTCTTTCACTAAAAATTGCTTGTTCATATGCCACCATGTATGCTGCTTGTCAATTCGTTCATGTACTAGAATGACAACAAACAGAAATTATTTATGTCCAACTGTGAAAAATAGAAAACAACAAACCGTCAGGAATTCGTATATATTGTGCCATTATTTGTTCACAAAGACGACGAAGAAATGTTTTGAAAAGTAGCTATGTGAAACGAAACAGTATCTAATATTTATATAAAGTCTATTTTTGTACCGTATCAGCAAATTTATCAAAATATCTTCTAAATGCATAGCGATAAATATTAATTATATTGTCCGGTGGAAATGGTCGAAATGGTGCCTCGTAATCAACTTCATGTGATGGATGGTATCTGACGAGTGAGATCTATTTCAATGCCTTTACTGCTCCGAGAGCAGCATATGTATCTTCTTCTTTATTAAAAAAAGATAGAAAATAGCTTTGCCAGTCGCTGTCGGGACGCGGTGATTTTTATAATATTTAAGATGTTGATGAAATATGCCGGACATTTCGTCATTAGTGATGTTAATGTCGGTTTGATTATTTAAAACCAATCTACATTCCATAATAGAGTTTACTGAAAGAAAAACAAAATTCTCATAAAAAAAACTACCGAAAAGGCTCGGTGTCCACAATGGATCGGTTTACTTATTAGTGTAAATTAAGTTTACTCGAAATTAAAGATGTATGCAATCTATTCAAAAGTGTAAACGTGGCGAATTCCTAAGATCTTAAATAAATATACGAACAAATATAGTACTAATAACTGTAGAAAACATACTTGAGATATTTTAATGTAATAGAAAATCTTTATTCCCTTTTCTGAAAGAAAGGGTTTTATCACGTTTAAATCATGGGCCTAAAATTGCTTAAAGTTTGTCTGTCTGTCTGTCTGTCTGTCTGTCATTCCGTCATTCCGTCATTCCGTCTAAACCAATCAGATTGCAGCAAAGTTTTCGAAGCCCATTTTTTTAGACGTATTTTGATGCAGGGATTTCGAATCCGAGATCCGTTGGGTGACTAGGGTGAAGGGGATGGGTGAATTGGGTGATGGGTGGGTGAGAGGTCAAAAAAACATCCAATATCGATTTTTTGAAAAATATATTTTTA